TAAAACAGACCGAATGATATCGTTCCAACATCTCGGAGCATGTAGACCACATTCAACAGCAATTTCTAAGACAGTCTGCATTGTGACAACATCGGCTTTTCGCATCGGCCATTTACTGAAGCGTTCCTCCGAAGAATCCACTTTAGCCTGTGCACTCAGGTTTCGCAACTCATCCAGTGGACATGAAACAGAAACGAGTCGTTCGATCAGTGCCTGACTGCGTTCTTCCAAACCTGAAATTTCGCTACTTCAAATGCCTGTGCCTCTGCGCCGTTTCGTTTGGCAGTTTTACTTCATAATTACTTCATATTTCATATTTGTTTTACTTCAATAACATAACTATTTAAATTAAAATCAAATTCATACTAACTACTATAATCATTGTATTGACGAGACCCAACTGTGGTAGTGGTAAGAAATGTATATGACTTAATGGACCGAAAGATTTCTTAACATTATAATGTATTCTAAAGCATATTTCAAATTTTTGCTAGTTTCTTAACATTACTAGCTTTTTCTTCTTCCTTCATTAAAAACATTTTATTAAGTTTGACCCTCTTCTCTTCCATTTTCCAGAAGACATGGGTTTCTGTTTTTTCTTTCGGCGGCTCTACTTGGGCCGTCCAATTTTGATTCAGTCTTCCATAGACCTTCTATTCTATTTCTGTTACCAGTGTGATTTTCCGTGGTATGAAATCCAGAAAAAACATACCCAGTAAGACACAGAGCCGTGCAAAGGAGAGCAATGTGTACAGCGCTTGATCAAATGCTTCTGCTGCCTTTGGTCGAACAATACGACGTTGTTTGGCACGAAGAGAAAGCAGAAGAGCCGGTGCCCCAAGTACTTTGTCCCAACAGGCCGTCAAAAGCCATCGACAGGCTGCGCAAGCTGAAACTCTCTAAGTATAAATTAATTAACTAAAACACTAAAATTTTTAGCTTCCGAATGGCTCAGCTCCTAACATCTCTTTTAACTCCCAAAACTAAATCATTCGTACATTTTTTTTTTTTTTTGGTGGTATTTATGGATTCTGTTCTAGTACGATGGAGGGTAACAACGCTCGAAACAAGTTTGCAATGCTCACACACACACACACACACACATACACACAAACACACATGCACACATACATACATAAATACATACTCACACACCACCACACTCACACACACACACACACACACACACACACACACACACACGCACATATACTAGCAACGTCCCGAAATAGCTAAGGCAGTTCGATGGGAAGAACGGTTAAGCTACTGATTTCTGCTAAAAAGAAAACGAATGTCAAGATCGCTCGCAGGCTGTGTCATGTTCGAGGCCCGCTTCAAAAATGGCCGCGAACCGGGAGGAAATTGAACCGCCGCCCATCACATTCGGACACGACGTGCTATCCACTATACCAGGGCTTTTGTTCTCCGGGACCAGCCTGGCAGCACATCTACTACGTCTGCCTTCAAGACAGGGTAAACCCGTTATTTTCTTGGCTGCCTCCCAAAAGCAGTATACACATCTTTTTCTTTGTGAAGGCTTTTCCTCTGCCGGCTCTTCGCGGGTTCTCCGCGATATACTGACCGCCAGAGCAACACTGGCCAAAACGAATGAAAAAGCTGCTAGCTGTACAGTTGGGGAAACCGTGCTAAAAATTATAGCCAGTTACTGCTGTGGATTTTTCATCGCTCTATCAAATCTGCAACATCCGTTTCAAATATTTCAGTCCCACATAAAAGTAACCCATATACAGTGTAGAGTAAACATCCTGTAAAAACGATGCGAATCCGCAG